TGCGTGCCAGTGAGGGTGCAAAAAATGTTCTTCTGTCGCGTTGTAAACATGAATTAGCTTGTTTGCATATGTTTTTGGATGAAATGAAAGAAAGATTAGTCATTTTTGATGAAGCATTGGCGTTTCCTAATTCTGTTGTTAAACAAATAAGAAAGGTATTTGCTGCGGTTTGGGGTATTTGTTCTCTTTTAAATTGTGATGTGGATTCTTCCTATTCATCAGTAGAAGAAATTTTGGCCTCCAGAGATTATTTTAAGAAACTTTGTGGATCTGAATCTCTTGCTGTTTCTTCTGAATTTGAGGATGTTACACGTGCTGAATGTGTGCATGTGATGAAACGAGCTGTGATGCGTCTTGCACCTGATTTGATGAATGAAGTAACTTTACGTCTTCCCGAAAAGTTACAACGTGGGGTTCAGGAAAGTGTTCAAGAGCGTGATAATTTGAAGGAGTCTCTGGAAGAATTAACGGATTCTAGTGCGAAGGTTCAAAATGATTTAAATACGCTTATGAATGCAGCGGAGATTTCTCTAAAGTTTTTGCGGTCTAATGATACGAATGCTGATTCTTTAATTCCAAAGGTGAGTGTTTCGTTGTTGTCTAGATCTTTGATGTCATCCGCGGAAGATACTTCTGGAAGATGTAATGAACTTTGCGCATTGTGTAGGGAGTGTAGTACTATTGTTGCCCAAGCACGTAAATTAGAATCTGTCGCTCCTTCTCCTGATCATTCATTGTCTTCTAAATGTGGTGAAATTGCCTCTGAACTGTTATTAGTGGATCATTGCAAAGAATTGGTATCAGAGTTGCTTGCACTTCGTGCAGGTCGACGTACAGGTTATGCTGCAATGGAGCGAAACGCAGCGGATATTGATTTATTAAAGGATGCTTTACGTAGTGCTGTAGAGACACTTTCAGCTACACTTGATGATGCTCCTTCTACCGTATTGGTTTCATCACTTCGTAGTTCTCCTTCTTCTGTTGCAATAGATGATGTTTCAGTATTTTCTCTTTGCGCACAGTTGGAGTCTTGTGTACATAGTGCGGCGAAGCAATTACGTGAAAGAGATCGTTTGGCTGGTGTTTGTGTAAAACTTCTTCAAGATGTACTAACACCATCTGGTGGAGATGTAAGAGGAGGAGAGGCATTACTTCCTATTGTACGAGAAGTTGCACATGAAGTGGAATTCTCCCGACTTGAACTGGATAGTTTACGAAGAAATATTGATCAATATAAACGACAAATGGAAGAGTTACAACATCGTCTTGAGGTGGAAGAGTCTAATAATCGCAATGCGTTAGCCACACAAGCTGAATCTCATGATGCAGTAGAAAAACAATTAAAAGAAGTAACCGAACGTCAAATGACTGCTACAGCAAATGCTGCAAAACTACTTCGAATATTATCTGAATTCTCTGGTAGTGTGGCTGCAATTACTTTACATGATGATAGTGATAGTGAAAGCAAAGAGAAAGAAGATGTCATGCCAACAACAAGAAGAAGTGAATCTACAGGAGAAAAAGATAATGTTTCTGTAAGTGGAGTAAATGATACCGTAAGCAAAGAACGACTGGATAAAATATTAGAACATTGTTCAGATGTTATGCGTGAACTAGAGGCAGCGAAATCCAAAACAAAACTTCTCTCATCTGAAGTAGAAGATTTACGTGGAAAACTACGAGAAGGTGAAGATACAGCACGAGAATTGGAATATCATGTACGTAGTGCAGAAGAAAAGTCTGCCCTTCGTAGTGCTGAAATGGCAGATGAAATGGAATTTCTTCACAAAACATTAATGACGAGAGAAGTGGAATGTGAAAAACTACAACTTCAAGTTCAAGCACAAGAAAGACGAATAGATGTAATGCGAGCAGAGATGGCAGAGGCTGCTAAATCGCATGGTAGTGAACGTGATAATTTATCAAAGGTGAGTTCTACATTACTATCAAATAATGAGGAAATGCAACGTCAATTAGAAGAATTACGTGAAGAGTTAAATGGTAAACGTAAAGAGATACAAGATTTCTTACATGAAACACAAATTGTTTCTTTACGTGAAGGAACTTGTAAAATGCGAGAATTAACAGTAGAAGTTATGTTAAGTACATTATTACATGAGGAAACCGAAGATCGTTTACGATTATATCAAGATTGGATTATTCGTTATCCTTCACAACCGGCTCTTCTTTTAGGTATTTGTTCTCATATTGCCACTATACTTTCAGAATCTATATTAGAACATCTTCCTATGCGTGTGGCTCAATTACAAATGGATGAACGGGATTGTATGAAAAGACTTGGAGTTCCTGCGAAAACACCAGGACCAACACGTGCGGCTATTATGAAGATATTACAGGAATGGATGGAACTTCTTAATATAGAGTCTACAATAGATTCAGAATCCTTACTTCCAGAGATGCATAATGCGATTACTTCTCTTATTGCTGGATATACTCCTCTTAAGAAAAAGATTACTGTATTACAGAAAGAGATGGAGAATACCACCGTAGCTTTACAATCGGGATGTGAACAGGTAACACAAATGACAAGTTTACTAAGACGTGTACATCCAGTGGATGAAACTTTGGCCTCATGTTGTTCTTATCTTTTATTATCTTCACAATCCACAGAAACAGAGACGGAAGTATCTTCTCTTATTTCATTACAAACAAGTCTTGCAACATTACGTTCGGAATGTGAATGGGTTTCAGAGAAACTTCTTAATTATACTGAACAAACACGTAAAGCATTAGAAGTTTTAAAACCTGTATATAATGGATCTAGTGTAGTAGAAGCTTGTGTACGAACTGTAGAAGAATTACAAGAACGACGTACAAAAGAATCATCATTATTAGATGAATTAACGAAAGAACGTGCAAATCTTCAATTATGCCGTGATTCTATTGAATCTAGTATGCGTATATTACCACGATTAACTACCACTAATGATAAGAATGATGTGGAAAGTGATGGATTAGTGCAGCGTTGTACAGCTTTAACAGCAGAACTACAGAGAGTAACTGAAATATTGAAAAGAATAGAAGAATCCATAATTCAAGAGGGTTTTAATACTCATGATGGGGATATTTATGCAAATATGAATTCTTTACTAAATGAATTACGGCGAAGAGGAGAACGTGTAAAGTTATTGGAAGCAGATGGTGAACATTCACAACAGAAAATCCAACAATTAGAAAAAAGTATGCAAGCAGCAGATTTAGAGATGCAAGAGACAATAAAAACACATAAAGAAACATTACAAGATTTACAACAACGTGCAAAGGAGAAACAAGAAAAATTAAATACACAAATTGTAGAGTTTACACAAGAAAATGATACCTTACGTACATGGATTGCAGCTTGTGCAAATATTATTGGATGTTCTAGTGAAAGTGGATGGGATGAAACTTGTAGTGAACACACATTAGAAGTTCTAAGAGATCTTGTTCAATCTCGACAGGCATTACAAGTAGATGTGGAAGATCTTCATACACAATTAACTTCCGCAAAGGCAGCCTGTGCAACTTCTGAAGGTTTACGTTTATTAGCTCAAGAAGAACAACAACGACTCCTAAATGAGGAACAACAATTAAATAATGAACTTAGTATATCCGAAACGACAAGAGAAAAATATCAGGTTTCCCTATTACAATTAGTAGAGACAGTGGAAACTGTGGTTCCACAACTTTGCCCAGGATATATAGCTGATATCATACCAACACCATTACCACCACCAATAGTATTAACAACAGCAACATCCATCACATCATCATCATCATCTACAATGATTACTACACCCATGATAGAAGGAATGGAAACAGGACTTTCAAGTTCATCTATGGAACTTCGTTCTTCCGCTGCTGCACAACGATTACGAAGTGCATCTGAGGCTGCAGGATTACATATACAGAGTCTTCATGAAGAAATTAATACACTTAAGGAAATTAATGCGGAACAATTAGGTGAATTAGAAATGGCAACCGATAATCTTAAGAGTGCTGTTCAAAATACTGATCATTTCATGCTTGATAATATTATCCAATTAAGTTATGCTGTTAAAGAAGAACTAGAAGAAGCTTTGGATAAAAATAAAAGACTTGAAAAGGAAGTAGAGACATTACATCGTAAAAACGCTATAGAGATTGAATCTCGAGAAGCTACAGAGAAACGATTTGATAGAGTAAATTCCATTGTAGATGATTTGGAAACAAAGAATAGTGAATTACAAGAGGAATTACGTGTTCTTCATTCCTTTATTAACACACTTGCGGTAGATATGGGAGAAGAAGAACCACATGGACAAGTTGCCTTTAATGAACTCAAACAAAAATGTACAGATGCGAAAACCTCCGCTTTACAAAAATCAGAAGAATTAGAAAGACTTCGTGAAGAATTTGAAGTCTTAAGTGGAAGTTCAGCGGCATTAGAACAAGCCCATCATAATGATTTGGAGGAATTACAAAAATTAAAACAAAAATTAAATGAAATTCAACAGGAACGTGATAATTTAGTAAAAGCCTCTGAAGAATTGGTAGATCGTGTACAAAGTGTATTAGATGATCATGTAGAAGTTCAACGGGAATTATTTTTTGCCGATGATGATGATGTTACGGTAGGTGATATTGTTCAACTTGCTGTAGAAAGATTAGAAAAGAATCGTTTGGAAATCCTAAAGAAGAATGAAAGTCTTACCCAATTAGAAGGTGAAAATGAAAAAATGAAAAATACATTAGAACAATATGAACATCATTTCATTTCCAAAAATGAAGAAATTGAAAACTTACATGAACAATTAAGACTCGCAGCGGAAGGTCAACAAACGACAGAATCGGAACAATCAAAGAAATCTGCAGAAGTGGAAAGTCTTCATCGTCAATTACAAGCCCTTTTTGCAGATGCCATACAAATTGCCACTAATGAAATGCAATTACAACTTCCTCTCTTTACAGATAGAAGTACAACAGGCGCTTTACAAGGTCTTCGTTCACTCTTTGATTTTATTGCAGAGAAATTCCGTAATGGTATGATACCAGATGAAGAAGTGGAATCATTAAAACGTCGTCTACAAGAACAAGAACATTATTATGCAAAAGAAGCAAAGAGTTTATATCGTGCATTTCATGATCATATTATTCCATATACTGGAAGTTTATTAAGTGATAATAATAATAATAATAATAATAATAATAGTAATAATGAAATGATGATGATGGATAGTAAAGGAAATTCATTCCATCGTCTCACCCCTCAACATTTGGTAGAAGCCGCAGAAACTCTTTATCATACACATAGTGATGTTCGTCATGCAATTAAACTCTTATCACCATTAACATCTACAGAACTTCCATTACATCTACAGAAAGTATCTCTTCCACAATTAGCGGCATCTCTTAATACTGTTACATCTTCTATTGCAGAAGGTGTAGATATTATGCAAGATGCTATTCGTACAGTCTCATCTGCGGCATTTATTCAACCTGTAGAGTTTCTTTCTCACCATCATCCTCATCATCCTCATTCTCATGGAGAAGATAATGAGGAATATAAAGAAAATATACGGGAATGGATACGAAATATGTTATCCGTATTAGAACGATCAAGACGTCGTCAAGATGATACGGATCGTTTATTGGATCTTCTCACTTCTCTCGTGCGAAGTCATGGTGGAATAGTGGAAGATACATTATTAGATTCTATGAATACAACCACTACGACTACGAATACCAATAATAATAATAATAATAATAATAATAATAATATTCCTTCTACTATTATGAATGCCTCTTTACGAGATCTTAACAGTAGTCGTCATGATACCCCGTCTCTTTCTGGTCGTTCACGGGTTGTGTATGATAGTTTGCAGGAACTTCTCATGCGATTAGATGCCCGCGGCCGAGCTCTCACATCGGAATGGCAGGCGTTAATGGATCAAAACAATCGATTACAACAGGAATGCCGTCGGAGTGAAGAAGAACAGGAAGAAGTTCAACAACATTTACAGGAATTACGTGGTGTTGTTCGGCGAAAGATTGAAGAGGATAGACGTGTGGAAAATAGTTTACAGGAATTGGATAGACATCTTGATATGCAAGCACGTGAATTGGCATTAAAGTATCGGGCTGATCATGATACTATTGTACGGCAATTCACAGAATTGAGAGGAGCGATTCGACATACATTGAAACCCTCACGTTCACGTTCCGCTGCATCCACCGCACTCACATCTTATCAAGGTTATTAAATTATTTTAACAGGAATAAGAGAGAAATAAAAAAAATAAAAATAAAAAAGAAGAAGAGTACTGTTAATAAATGAATGAAAGAGATAATATTGGTAATAATAAAAGGTTTAAAATATTACAGAAAATTAATGGAGGTGTGTTAGAATGTCCATATATCTGTATTTTGCCTATTATATATATATGATATTATATATAAATAAGTATGTTTATATAGATGTCTCTGTGTCTCTGTGTGTTTTCTGAAAAATTGAAATGTTTTCTCTTCTTTTTTCTTCTTTAAGTGTATCTTCTATTGCTCAACCTTCCCCCTTCTTGGGGTAATTGTACTATAAAGAGAATATATATATATATATATTATATATAAATAGCGATCGAGTGTTGTGTATTTACAAAAGGGTGATTTGCTTCTTTAAAAAAACAGAAACAAAAAAAAAAGGAATAGGAAGTGGATCACAGTAGAAAAAGAAGAATAATATCCGAAACAAGGACTCAAAGCAAAGAAAAAAAAAAAAAAAAGAAAACAATAACAATAATTTGCAATAGATTTAAGTATAAATATATAAATATAATGCCCTCAGAGGTTCACCGTCGTGGATCTACAAGGAGTTCTGCAAATCTTATCGCCCGACGGCTTCTCTGTGAACCGTGGGAACTCGTCGAGACGAATATTCCGCAGGGAGCTGATATTCCCATTAGTGAATCTCTCTTCTCTGTTGGCAACGGTCATGTGAGAGTGCGTGGATATAAAGAAGAAGCAGAAGTAGCTGCCCCTTATGGTGGTGGAAATCGTACATTAAATAACAGTAATTGTGGAATTAGTGTTTCTACCAGTTGTTTTGGTGTTGGTGGTTGTGGTGGTGGTAGTAGTAGTAGTCTAAACAGTACAAATGATATGAATAGTAATTGTAGACCTCAATATATGTTGAAAGCGGGGAGAACAACTTTGGCGGCGGAGGCACAACCACCTGAAAAATCTTTACGTGGAACATATGTAAATGGAACATATGAGGAACGTTTACTGAATCGACATCATAGAGATTTCACTGTTGGGACATGTGCACGGGAGTGTTTTCTTATTTCTGTACCGGATGCTTTTTGTATAGATGTCTTTGTTGGTAGTGAACATGTAAGTCCTGCTACTGGAACTGTTATTTCACATACACGTATTTTAGATTTTCGTACGGGTGAACTTCGTCGTCGTTTTGTTTGGCTTTCCGCTAATCAAGTACGTGAAGTAACGATTGAATCCTCTCGATTTGTCTCTGCCACTCGTAAAGGAATTGCGGTAATGAAATATACCGTAAGTGCGAAGAATGTATTAAATACCGATATTCGTATTGTTTCCCGCACCACAGTCCCAACAGATGCCAGACAACATTTAAAAGTAGAAAATGTCGTGGCTCGACATTCTTTACATGATGCCTCTTCTGCGGTTTGTGTGCGAACTCGAAATAGTTGTAAACGATTAGTCGTTGCGGTAACGGAGGTTTGTGCGAGTACACACGTGGAACACAAACCGGGATCGAATTCGGCCTTTACGGCGGCGAGTGGGACGAGTTTGGCGGAGGGAGCCACACCGACCAGTTTGGCCCAAACAGATATCTCGCAACCACCGAATAATAGATTTGGAAGTACGCCTCCAACATCTCAACAACAAATACAAACTCAACAACATCCACCACTACCACAACAACAACAACAACAACAACAACAATTACAACCACAAACACTGCCATTACAACAACAACAGCAGCAATCACAACAGTCACAGCAATCGCAACAACAACAACAACCACAGCCACCACAACCGCAATCACAACAACCGCAATCACAACAACAACCATCACAACAACAACAACAATCTTTTACATTTCTTGCACCAAAATGTGCGGAAACGGAAAATGGATCTGAAACTATTTATACAAGTGTTATTAGTGATCATACACGATTTGAACTTAACAAGTTTGTAGCGTTCCTTAGTGATGAGGATGCTGCACCAGAAGATATTTGTGATTTGGCTATTCTTCAAGCAAGAGAAGCTGCTACATTAGATTATGATGCCCTTTTTCAGGAACAACGTCTTTCTATTTCTAAATTTTGGGAAGTTGCAGATATTCGTGTAGCCTGTGATAATCCAGCTGTTCAAGGTGCCCTTCGATTTAATATATTACAATTATATATGACTGCAGGAAGAATTTGTTTACAAAAGTCACCCTCACGGGGTATTATGTGTGAACTTTATGGAGGTTTACAACAATGGGATTTAGATGCTATTGTGATACCTTTCTTCTCTAATATTCAACCAGAAACAGCACGAGCTCTTTTACAATTTCGTATTGATACATTACCTCAAGCAAGGAATATTGCTATGGATATGGATATTCCTAGAGGTGCGATTTATCCTTTACGTACGGTAAATGGAGGAGAAAATAGTCCTGCATCTTTTTGTGCAGCTTTTCTTCATGTAAATGCTATTATTGCCTATTCGATGAAAAGATATATTATTGCCACTAATGATACTTCTATACTTTTACAAGGTGGAGCTGATGTGATATTTTCTACTGTTCTTATTTGGCTTATATGGGGAACATGGGATAAAGGACAATTTCATATTCGCTCTGTTGGTGGACCAGATGATTACAGTGGATTAAGTGATAATAACTTCTTTACTAATATTATGGCTCAATATCATATGCAGTGGGTTGTTGGTCTTGCCGCCTTTTTAAAAGAGAAACATCCAGTAGAATGGGAAGAATTAAAAGAACGTTGTCAATTTACAGATGAAGATTTACAAATGATTGAACAAGCGGCAGCTAAAATGGTAATTTTCTTTGATGCTAAAAATCGTGTTCATCCGGTAGATCAATTCTTTATGCGTAAAAAAAAATGGGATCTTGGTGATTTAAAATCTAAAAGAGGACTTCTTATAAGAACATTTGATCCTTCTGTTATTTACCGTCATCAGGTTTGTCGAACTCCAGATGTGGTATTAGCATCTATGCTTCTTCCAGAAAGATGTACAAAAGATGAAGTGCGGGCGAATTATAATTTTTATGAACCCATCACAACAAATGATTCTTCCATTAGTTCTGTTATTTTTAGTGTTGTGGCTTCTCAATTGGATATGTTAGATAAAGCTAAAATACATTTTAATCGAGTTCCTTTTGTGGATATTGAGAATGTTATTGGAAATACTGGACGTGGTTTACATAGTAGTGCCGCTGCGGGATCTTGGTGGTGTTTAGCGGCTGGATTTGGTGGAATGCGTTTAGTTCAGGGAGTTTTACATTTTAATCCGGTTCTTCCCGATGGATGTGATGAATATGAATTCTTTGTTCGTCATCGTGGTTGTTTAATTTTAGTTCATGTTACTCGTCGGACGGTTACTTATAAAATGGTAGAGAATAAATGGGATTTACCGGAACTTCTTATTATTCATTCAGATACGAATCGTATTCATTTAGAAAATGGTATTCCAGAGTCTGTTCGACTTTACCGTGATGTTCGTGTATTTGATTTTGATTGTGTTATATTTGATATGGATAGTCTTATTGATAATATTGAGGAATATCATTATGAAGCTTGGAAAAAAACATTAGAATCTTTCCTACATGAAATGGGTCAAACCTCCTTTAATCTTACCAGTGAATTATATCTTGCCTATTTAAAACATGGTAAACCATTTCCAGCCTTATTACAATTTCTTGGTAAACAAGGTTTCTCTAATGTTCCTTTAGGAGGTCCAGATAATACAAGAGAACATAATACTTTGTATGGACTTTTTCAACGTAAATTACATTACTTTCGACATTGTGTTCGTTCTCGTGGGGTTCAACCTCGAGAAGGGGCATTAGAACTTCTTTCAGAACTTCGACAAAGTGGGATTTATGTTGGATGTGTTACGTTAAGTAAGAATGGACATTGGTTATTAAATGAAACACCACAACTCATGTCTCTTATAGATAAATGTTTGGATGGAATAGATGCGGAGGAAAAGGCATTACGATGGAGACCAGAAATGGATTATTTCTTTGCCATGTGTGAACAATTAAATACATCTATGTCTCGTACAGTGATTGTGTTAGATTCTATTGATGGATTCTCTAAAAGTGCATTAGATCAATTTAAATTAATTGTAGATCTTCAAAAGGATCCAGAGGAAAATGCATTTGGAATACAACGCATGTATGTTTCTAGTTTAAAAGAATTAACTGTTACTTTATTAGGAGAAATGACCTCTCGTGATGCTGTCTCTTCTCACAATCAACAACAACAACAACAACAACAGCATCAACATACACATACACATACGGGGGATCATACATCTTTGGTTTCTGGAAATAAAATAAGAGGAGGAGGAGGAGTGGAGAATTCTTCACTCGTTACTTGAGTCTGTTATTTTTATTTATTTATTTATTTGTTTGTATGGATGGATGGAAAGAGAGAGAGAAGAAAAGAATAGAAAAAAAGAAAAAAAAAGAAAAGAAAGAGAAGAAAGGTTCTGTATAAACTATTAGTTGTTTGTCCAGAGTGGCGTACGGAAATATAATCACACAATGAAAGAGAATTTAAAAAAAAGAGGGAATGAGAGAGAGAGAGAGAGAGACTGCGATGAAGATCATAAATTTAAAAAGAGAAAGAAAAGGAATAAAAAATAACTTTAGGTGTTTACAAATATGTGAGAAAAATGGAAATCCCTACATTTGAAGTAGGAATACGTTGTGTGTATGTGTGTATAACTCTTCTTTTTTCTTTTGTATTTCATTATTATTTTTTCTTTTTTTATTTTTCTTTTCTTGTATCTGTGTATATATACTTACTTGTGGATTCTGTAATTATTTCTTTTTATTCTTTTCTTCTTCTTCTTTATAATGTATTTCTCTCCCTGGGCTCTAGTTAGAGAGAAACTGATAAGAAGTAGCCTCTAAAAAAAAAAAAATATATATATATCCTCACAAAAAAAGAAAAAAAAAACAGAAAGAATGACTAGTAGAAGAGAGACACAAAAGAAAAAACGTGATGGTGTCTATCATAAAATAAATAAACGTTGGAAACTTATCTTATTAATAACCATCTCTCTTCTTATTCTAGCCTATCTTCTTTATAGTGATGAAAAGAAGAATGATCATTTAAATATCCAATTATTAAATAATACCCGAGATCTTGCAGAGGCTCTTCACAGTGTAAAGGAAGATTGTAATGTTCATACCCTTACCAAACTCACAGAGAATATGATGAAAGTGGGTGTTATTATAGAAGGAACATTAGCCACTATGGAGAGTAGTGAGATTACATACAAGGATACACATAAAGATATCCTCTTAGCAGGGGAAACATATAAAGATGCCACTTTTTTTCTTGTAGAGAAATTACAAACAATACTCACTACTACAAAAGCAAATACTCTTACTAATAATAATAATAATAATAATAATAATAATAATAATACTGTTTATACTCCAGAATTATTATGGCAGTGGATTGCTGTAGCCTCTCATGCACTTATGGGTGTATTACCGGAATATTATCTCGCCACAGATAACACAAATGCTCACGGTGAGGCATTAGTATTAGGATTAGAGTTATTACAATATGCCTCTAATACCTCTTTAGATGAAATGAAAGCTTTACAAGAGAGAAAAAAGAAAGATACCACCACCCCACTTGTAGATTGTGAATATTATGGAAATGATTATCATTGGATGAAATTCTGTAGGAATAGTTTTAATAATCATACCAGTTTAGAAATTCGTCGTGCTGCTCTTCTTGAGGAACTTATTGCCTTACATCCAGATTACGCTCCTGTACGACTTCATTATACCGTAACAGTTTCTTTAAATCCTCATGTGCTTAAGAGAGATTTGGCTTTAACATTAATTAAGAGAGAAAGATCTAAACTACAAACTCGTCTTTATGTAGATCCACTTCATCATGCGATGTTGCAACTCTGCGAGGCTTTTGTTTCTCCCACAACTGTAATGAAACAGGATGTGATGGAGGCTATTCATAAGATTGAAAGTTGTGCTAAACTTCTTCGACCATTTCATAATAATAATAATATGGATAGTTGGAAACATCGTTTTCATGGAAAACAACGACCAGATGTAATGGATGGACGACAAGCGAAACGTTTATTAAATGCTATAAAGACTTTATTAGAGGAAAGTGGGGAGTTGTTGCCTGATGCTCTTTTGACATGCGGTGAGATGGAATGAGTGTCGTTTTCTTTTCTTTTCTTTTCTCTCTCTCTCTCTCTATATATATATATATATGAAGTTGTTCTTGTTATTATTATTATTTCTGTTTAGGTGAAATAATCACAATTATGTATATACATATATATGTCTCTAGTTGTTTGATGATCCCTTTGTTTTTTCTTTCTCTCTTTCTTTCTTTCTTTCTTTCCTTTCTTCTTTTCCCTTTAAAGCATCACTTAGTATTATTCTCATTTATTATTATTGTTATTATTATTATTAGAATTGCTCCAGTAAACTATTTGGAAGTTTCTTGCTTGGTGGTCTCTCTTTTTCTTTTTTTTGCCCTCTACTGTTTTTTTTTTTTTTTGCGATTCTCCCAATTTACATTTATCCTCTGAGAATCATGAGGAATTTGTGTTTATTATTATCATTATTATTATTATGTTCTTTACTATTATTGCCCTCTATGGTTATGATGGACACTCCAGAAGGAGTTGTATGGGATAGAATAGATCCCGGAAAAGATACCAGTTACTCCATTGTATTCTCACATGAACGAATACCAGCAGAACTCCCCTCTTCTTCACAGTATTATCCAATGAAACTCAGTAATGGATCTTCTTATCTCTGTATGATTCCAGACACATCCCCAACTAAAGAATCACTCTCCACATCTTCATTAGAAGTTCATAGTCGTGTCTCTTCACGTACCACCGCTATTCTTCATGCTGCCCTTAATGATTGGTGTTATCATCAACGAGAGGAATGGTGGTCCTATCAACTCTGCTGGAATACCCGCATTGTACAATTTCATCAAGAAGTTATTATGATGCATGGAGATGGAAATACACCTCTTGTTTCTTCTGCAGGGAATAAAAATTTTTTTCTCCTCGGTATGTCTCCACCAGCAGAGGCAGTTGAACTTCGCTACGGTGTGGATCCCTCTGGGGAGCGGTATATCTACACAATGTACACAAATGGACATATTTGTGATCTTACCAAGATGCCACGCGTGACGGAAGTGCGGCTTTACTGCGCCCGTGAAGATGATCGGGAGAAATTGCAGGTTGTGGAATCGGAAGTTTGTCGATATGTGGCGAGTGTGTACTCTGGACGGGCGTGTGTGCCGGAGCTGCGGCGGCAGATTGTACAAAGTGAGATTCGTTGTTACAATGATGATAATAGTGCTGGGCGGGAGTGAATGAATGAATAAGTGAGTGAGTGAGTCTATATTATGATGAGAAGGAAGTAGAGAGAGTGTATACGTATATAATATCTCTGTATTGTGTGTGTGTGTGTATGTGGGATCCTTTGTTTTATTTTATTCGTATTTATTCGTATATTTATTTATGATTAAAGTTTACATTGAAATATAGTAATATATATATGTATATATATCATATACTTTCTTTCCTTCTTCTTCTTCTTCTTTCCTTATTATTATTATGTGTAAACACTGTAAAAAAAGAAGAAAGAGACACATGCAATGACAAGTCAGAGAGAACAGTTAAGCCAATCTTCTTCTCTCTATGCTCCCGTAACGGCAGTGGCATTAAGTTCAGAGTTCTTTTGCCTAGCAATGGGTAATCGTGTGATGGCAGGCCGTTCACCCAATTCATCTTCTTCTATACATATAAATACAAATAAGAATAGTAATACTAATAATAATATTACTATACATGAGAAGAATGAAAAAGAAGAAGAAATGTGGCTTGTAGCGGAACTTCCCCATGGTGCTGTCATTACATCATTAGAGCAATACATCACGACTATGGAAACTTCTCAACGTCTTGTTTTTGTTGTGATTGGAAGTGGGAATCATCTCTTTATAGCCCCACTGGATATAGAAAGAAGAAAACATTCTCTTCTTACACATATCAAACTGGAAGACTCGGCGAGAATTCTGAAGATTCGCAGTATAATGACGATTGGATCTCAAATAGGTGGTGTTCTCATATTAACCGCCTTAAATTCCGTTTACTTTGTGAGTGAAGCCTCTCTTCTTTCTCCTGATTATAGTGTGGATCGTACTAATATTAGTAGTCATCATCATACGATTAATAGTTCTATTCATAGTAGTCCTATACCATTTGTTCGCTATTCAGCAGAGGGATTGGGTGTGGCATTAGCCGCAGATGCTGTAATGGAAACATATCATAATAATAATAATAATAATAATAATAATAATAATAATAATAATAATAATAATAATAACAAGAAAAGAAGAAGTATGGCTGTATTCTCTGGTACATATGCGGGTTCTATTGCCGCCTGGTCTGTTCCTCTTCCATATACACAGGAAGATGAAAAAGATGAAGAAAAGGATAAGAGATCTATTGTAAAGAGCCTTCCTGTATATTCATGGATTCATGCACATCAACCAGGTTGTGCTGTCTTCTCTGTTAAAGTAATCACTACTACTAATAATAATAATACTAATAATAATAATGATAATATAGAAGGAAATGGTACCGCTTACAATAAGGCACATTTCTGTGTAGCTACTTGCAGTGATGATCGCACAGCTACACTGTATGTTCCTACTACACCTGCATGTATATTAACAGAGGGAATGACTTGGATTTGTTGTTGGCGAGGCGGTGGAGTTTCTTTTTCACGAAGACGTATATTTGATGTGGATATACATTACACATCTTATAAAGATAGTGGGAGACTTCTCTTAGCAACTGGTGGTGAGGATGGATGTGTACAGGCCTTTGGCTTTCAAGCAGAGGAACTTATTCCATCTAGTGAAAGGAATATATGTGAAGATGATAATGAAGAAAAAGAAAAGAAGAAGAAAGAAAATATATCTATGAAAGGAGTCATGTTACTACGACGTGAACATCAACATAGTGGTCGTGGTGTGTATAAAGTACTTCTTCACAATAATAATAATAATAATAATAATAATAATAATAAAGCTGGTGTGATTTCCTCTGGTTTTGATGGATCTACACATTATACGGCCTTATCTACATCATTATCATCATCTACACAAACTGCTGTACTTGTGCCGAGAGAATTGAGACGCAGTCGACATGTACGTAGTATTGCCTGTGATGAGGCAGGGACATTATTGGCATGTACAGAAGAGGAACTTATTATTCTTTTTGTTAAGAGTGGGAATGTAAAGGAAGTGCGAGTGCAGTTTCCCTCTTCTACAAATAATAATAATAATAATAATAATAATAATAATAATAATAATAATAATAATAATGTTAAGAGAGATAACTTGCCAACATGTTTAGGTACTATTAGATGTAAAGTACAAGAGCAGTTTCTAGCATTAGTGGGTACAAAAGCAGGGAATGTCTATGGTATATCCTACACACTTCCATTAGAAGAAGAAAAAATGGAAAAGGATTCTTTTACATATACAGCTATCGTATCTTTTTCAACTATGCCGTCATCCTCAAAGGTTTTATTTGTGCGTGGATTATATTGGAAAGAATATCTTTTATTTGTGAGTATTCACGCCAATGGGACACTTGTGCTTTCAGCCGTTTCTTCTTCTTCT